TTGTAGTGCTCAATTAAGCGAAAAAACGTACTCAAGTATTTTGTTGAGAATATTATTCATATAAATTACAGATTAGGACTTCTAGTAAGTCTGTGTTACTTTACGCCGATAGATTATTTCAACAATATGTTGTAGATATGTACGTTAAAATAGAAACTATTAGATTGGATTATTTTCGTAATAACCAAAAATAAATTCGTGCTGAACTTTACCAAGGTATTGTAGATAGTGTTCAAAATGGGTAAACAAGAGGATGCGAAGTTGAAAGAAAAATTGTTTTACTACAATTATTTACATGTGGGCCTCGTGATATGCTAAGAATATACATGTATGGAATGGCTCTTATGCAACGTTATGAAAAATCAGATATATTTTTTACTATAACATGTAATCCGAATTGGCCAGAGATTAAGCAAGAACTAAAAATAATGACGAAATTCAAAATCGATCAGATTTAATTGTACGTATATTTAGAGCGAAATTAGGAGAACTGAAACATTATTTATACAAAGCAAATATTTTATGCCATGTTATTGCACATATATACGTGATTGAATTTCAAAAAAGAGGCATTTCTCATGCACATATGTTGTTAATATTTAACTCTAGAAATAAAATTACTTGTGCTGAAAAAGTTGATAAGATAGTGTCATGTGAAATTCCTAACAAAAACAAATACTCTCATCTTTATTCTGTTATTGTTAGACATAATATTTATGGTCATTGTGGAAATTTAAATCCGAAAAATGTATGCATGGAGGCAAATAAAAGTTGTAAATATAAATACCTCAAAGATTTTTGTAATATTACTGTGTTTGGTCAAAACTCATATCTATTGTATAAGCGTCGTGATACTAATATTTCTGTTCGAGTTAGGGGCTAAATGTTAGACAATCAATAGATTGTACCTATAATCCTTATTTAAGTTCGAAATTTGACTGTCACATTAATGTTGAAGTATGTTCTTCTATCAAAGTTGTAAAGTATTTGTATAAGTATGTTTACAAAGGATATGATTGTATTAATTTTTCAGTTCTTAAAAATGAAATAAAGAAGGATATAGATGAAATTTCTGCTTATCAGTCTGTTAGATGGATATCTCCACCTGAAGCTATGTAGAGGATTTTTTCTTTTAATATGTCAGAAATTTATCCTACAGTTTACTCTTTACAGCTTCATATCGAAAATCATCAACAAGTAACATATGACGATGAAGATGATTTATCTACTGTTTTTGAAAATTAAAATAAAAAAAGAACTATGTTGACAGAATTTTTTTTGCATAAATAATGAAAATGAGTTTGCACGTACACTTTTGTATAGAGATTTTCCAACATATTTTATTTGGAACACAAATAAGAAAATTTGGACTCGCAGAAAGAAAAAAGTTGTTATAGGACGAATTGTCATGGTAAATCCATCTGAAGGAGAACGATATTTTGTTCGTATGCTTTTGAATCATATTCGAGGTCCAACATCGTTTCAAGGTTTACGAACTTTAAATGGAGTTACTATTGTTACATATCGAGAAGCAGTGCTTCTACATGGTTTATTGAGTGGAGATAATAATTGTGAAGAATGTTTATCTGAAGCTGTTATTTATGAAATGCCTATTTCTTTAAAATGTCTATTTGCTACACTTCTTAGCCTCTACAACCCTAATGATCCAAAATTATTGTGTAATACATTTAAATTTTATATGATTGATCATTACATACATGAAAATATTTCTTCACATGATGCTGAACTTCGAGCTTTAAACGATATCAGTTGTATCTTAGAATCTTTAGGTAAAAATATAAACAATTACAAAATAGTATCATTCAATGTAGATATGAACGAAAATGATAAATTGAGGAGAATGGTTGAAGATGAGACAATAATATGAATATTGAATAAATCTATGTTTGTGCAGCAAATTTAAATAACAAACAACAAATTACATATGATATGATTATGGAAAAAATAACATCGGGATCAAGTGGTGCTTTCTTCATCGATGGTCCAGGCGGCACAGGTAAAACATTTTTATATAAGTGCTGTAAGGTCTCAAAATGCAATTGCTTTGGCAACTGCGTCTTCTGGAGTAGCTGCATCCCATCTACCCGGAGGTAAAACTGCTCATTCAAGGTTTAAAATTCGTTTGGAAACAATAGGTGAAATAAGTTGCTCTGTTAGTAAACAATCTGCTTTAGGAATATTGTTGAAAATGTACTAGTTAATAATTTGGGATGAAGCTCCTATGATAAATCGGTGTACTGTTGAGGCTGTGGATAAAATGTTAAAAGATATTAACAATTGTAATTTACCTTTCAGTGGTAAAGTTATGGTTTTCGGGGGATATTTCTGACAAGTTTTACCAATAGTACCAAGAGGGAAAAAAAGGCATAATTAAAGCTAGCTTAATCTTTTCTGATCTATGGCCTCTATTATTTCATGTATCATTAGTTGAAAATATGAGGGCAAAATTTGATCCTATTTTTTGTGATTACCTATTAAGAATTGGAAACGGAACAGAGCAACAACATTCTTGTAATTGGATTCAACTTTCAAGCGACATAATTGTACAATTAAAAAGTCTGAATATACTGGTTACAAATTTGATAGAAATAGCAAAGCAAAAATAATGTCAATTGAGATATAAATGAAGGTAGACATAATAAAAGTACCTGTGCACTGGCATATATAACAGGTTTTAACTTAAAGGGCTTTCTAAGATTTCAAGAACCACAAGGTAAATCAATCACCCACCTGCACAAGTATTAACAAGAATTTTTTGTAAACATAGATAGTAAAATAATATTTAACTTTGTCAACAACACATTACTACCTTTAATATCTTTGTGTACCTTGAAAATTAAGTGCAAGTATAATAAACCCTGCATTAGATTATATATATAGTTTCAGCAAAATACAAGAAAATGGCACGGGAAACTTTTGAGACTATTTTTTCAAACTTATAACATGAAGCTATTATAAGAGAAAAAGAAATAGCTCACTTGTAGACTTGTCACTCATAAGGGGGTTCGTAATTGCAGTCATTGTTGCTCAATGCTCAAATTTTAAGGTTACCTAAACATTCAGCAGTATTTGCATCCCATAGTTGAACTTTGTATCTAAACTTCTACTTGAAGAACTTCACGAAGGAGTGAATGGAATTTAACCAGCAAAAGACCAAGCAACAATTACACATTAAATGAATTCATAAAGTTCAAGCTAAGTAAAACAACGCAACCATCCAATTATCTGAGACATGGAAAATCTATTGTCAAAGGTAGATCATAAGCAGCAATAGAGGCCTAACACTATGTAAAATATTTTCAACAGAACATTAAGGTATATATTCTACATAATAGAAGGTTGGATAAATTTTTATATCATTAGTCAAAAGCAATGATAACATATTCATGATGAGAAATTAAATAATATACCTTCGTCTGTATAATCTACCTTTTTTATTTTTTTCTTCTCTAACTTACCATTTATTTACCCCTATGGGGTTAAATGTTAGATTGATCTTCCAAGAAGAGATTTCACAATAGTTTCATAGACAATAATGAAATTAATATGTAAAGTTTTAGAAGAGAGGCTTACCACCCAAGGTATCCTTCGAAAACCTTTCAACATGTTACTTTTACAGTATGGTCTCCACTGCAAAAATAAGTATGATGATATTAACGAACTTTCTATGAGTTAAGTAGTGTTGTATTTGCTATCGAACAACCTACATTTATTCCCATGTACAAAAATATCTAAAATAAACAATTTTAAAGTTATAAATATAAGATTATGCATTGAATTTTGACAAAGGGATCTTACTGTATTTTAAGAATATTTCTATATTTTCAAAATTCGTTAGAATTAGGCTAAATAGGGATGTAAAAAATATTCATTTTGACAAATATCTGTTGCAATTTTTTGTCCGTATAAACTTATCTTCTTTGATGAAACTGCTTCTAATGGATATCCGAAAACGAAGCATTTTATGCATTTGAGAAGGAAAACTCCAGAATTTGGCCTATAGAAAAAATAGTTTAAAGTTAGATTATATTAATACTGTACGTAAATATAACATTAAATTAAATAAAAAATTAAATATTACAATAAATTGTGGAGATGCTTATCCATTCTTTTGACAAGGTAGATATAGTATGATTTTCAATTTCATACGTTTATTTCTATGTTTTCTCAAACTTGGTTTAATGAAGAAAATGTTTGTAGAGATTAATAATGATTCCACTCCAGTCATTATCGATTCTGCACGTGCTTTGATTTCTTCCAATGTATGAATGGTGTGGCTACAATCATATATATGAAATTTCCACTTTTGAAAATCAACAAGAAAAAGAAACCAAGTGTTACTTGCATATGCTGATGAAATTAGTAAATAGTTGTATATTATCCACGATCGAGCAGATACAGGTAATTCTCCTTTTATGTATCGTTGTAATGTATTGAAATTAGTTGCAGAATGGCTAATTCCTTCTTTCATATTTGTATACCAATGAACACATTTAGTTTCGAATCTAAGATCCATAATTGCATACTCTTTAGAAAGCAACGGAAAACCAACAATAATAAGTCTTCTCAATAGCTTTAATTCTATATCAATATGCTAGTAAAAAAAAATGTAAATTAGATATATAAACAATGGAGAAAAATGAATTATGATTATTAAATTTTATTTACCACAATATTTATATTTTTCGTTTCATCTAGTATATTTTCTAACGATTGTTTTCTGTATAGATTACCCATTCCATCGTTCCAAATCAGGTATTTGAGTAAAGCAAGGTGAACAAACCATGATTTTAAGCAAACTCTTGTGTCATCCCAATATTTCCTCCCTTTGTTTTCAGTTCCACACCTGCATATTATGGACCGTGCTCCTTTTGCCTTGAGATCAATGGGATAATTATAGTAATGTCAAAATTATTGATATTTTTAAGATTCCGTCTTGAAAATAACTCAACTCAAAATGCTGTAGGTACATGAACACCTAAGGTTATAACGACTAATTTCTCGATACAGGAAATATGATAGGTTCAATACGGACAGACAATACCATGCATTTAAATCTCAAACCATCTGGAGAACAGAACACGTCGTGTAGGACGGAAACTAACAATGACCAACAGGTTTTGCACAATATTCTCACAAGTAGTTCTTCATCAATCATACTCTTATTTCATGAGTCATTTTACATTAACATAAAAGAAACAAGAATTGGTCTGTATCAAGATCTACATGTTCTTCCATTGCAAGAGTAAACCTGCAAGAAGCAAAGAATATCGATTATTCTAAATTCTACGTAAGATGATTAAAAGTAGAAACTAAACAATACGTTGCTAAATCACCATATAAAAAATGCTGCCAACAAATCAATAGAGGCAGTTCCAATATCAATAATGCATGATGTCACTTTATTCGCTGAAATATCTTAGGAAAAAATTGGAATGGAACACGAATATTAACATCTCAAAATCAATTTAGTTACCACAATTATTTGTAGGAATGAATAATAAACCAGACGACCCTTCAACTTCTCCATAAATCTATCAAATTAATTGCATAATTGGAATTCTTATCAATCTAAGACATGTCACCAACTAACATGCTTCAGATCTTGGCTCCCTGAATAACATAGCAGCACACTATGTAAGTTATAGGCTTTCAATTTGATATTTCCTAGTTTTAATATTTGGGTTCATATTTTAAAAATCAATGGGAAACAGGAACATCTCCACAACGTGTTACTTCTGGCTCAAATTTACACTCAGATTTCCCTCTAATTCTCTGGCAAAAGCGCCAGGCTGGCTACTGCCTCATATTAAGTAATTCACTGAAGAGGTATAGCTTCACTTTACATGTATTACATATATATATCATTACACAACATCTAGTCGTATTGGTTCAAAACATTTCTTATTACTTGTATTATAGTGAATAAATTTCGGTTTTCATCACGCTACAAATATAGGCTCTAGGGTGCAACATGTGGAAGTATCTGGATATGATGTTTGCCATCAACTGCACAATGAGTCAATGAGAGCAAATACTCGTAAACTTTCGAAGCGTCGTCTGGTCAACTAAACAGCAGTACAGCACAAGCCACAGAACTTATATTTTTCCTGCCAAGTGACATGTCATGTCAAGGGCATCCCAATTGGATTGACTGGGATGACCTCAAAAATGGAATATGGAAGATCTAGTCCATGTTTGAGCCACGGCAAACTCATTTTCAACCAAACATTATTTCAATAAAATAATTTTGCACGTAAAACCAAAACTTTTCTCACTTTTTGACCACGTATTCTTCAAAAAAAAATCACTATTACAATTTTTTTTTATAAAAATGGGGCTCAAAAACAGCCCTATTTTCATTCTTTTTCCCAATCCATTGCTTTCTATTTTAAAATTGACATTTTTTTCCTTTGATTCTTATACAACCGAATTGGGTCAAACTTCTATAGCCCCCCTTGTGGAGTTAAAATATTAATGCTGGAAAATCATCTCAAGGTTCAGTTGACAATCTGTACTCCAGAAATATCTTTCGAAAGGAAAGGGAGTTTAGAGAAACATGACACGCCCAATTCTACAGCACAGCACAATGAAAATTATGTATTATTTAGAAAGATTGAGTTTTTATAAAAACAAGTACTACCGTTGGTCACGAATGACGCAAACTAACAGCCCAGATGGATTAGATTTGCCAGATACATCACTCACAGCACTACTCAATCACTACTAATCACCAAGAAGAACAATGAAATAAAATTCAAAACTTTCTACACAGAAAAACATAATGAATCATTATGGGTTATCAACTGTCCTAAAGGTAAGAAAACCTAAGGATGTGTCATATGTTACCTTATTTGCTAATACCTTCTCCAACAAGAAAATAGTCCAATTCCTTACAGTAATCTTGTATCCCATATGAAACAACCATTTACAATGGTGTTTTCCCACAATTTTGGGTGCCAAAACTTCTGATTTATTTACAAATTATTGATATTGCCTCCTTCGTCCTTGTTAAATACCATCTTATTTCTGTTCAGGTTAGTATAAGAGAGAATAACTCTTTCTTGGAATTTTCGTGAAGTTATTATCTCAATTTGAAGCAATCCACAATCCTTGAGATCATGACCACTCTATTCACTACTAACTGTTAGCTCCATAATTAACCATGAGCTTGATAATCCCATACTTTTTAGTTAGTAGCTTAAACATTATTGCACTGTCTTAATAAAGCCATATCCTTGTATCACCATATTTCAACCTCAAATAGTCCGTGAAATAAAAAATCCTACATGTGAATACACTATACATTGAAGTTTGTACTTACCTAATTTGAATTCAACTTTATTCCGAAATGATCTAATGCCAACGGTAGGACATGGGTTATAATTCCCACTGTCGGCATGGCAACATTGGATGTTTCCATGCCCATGGCAGGCGTCATAACCCATGCCCACCATGGGAATCAGATCAAATCCGTTAACATATTAAATTTACGTATGATTGCATGACTTTTTCGAACCCACTTGATATCTTAAATTTCAAACTCATCAAGTGATCTCAGGGATATTAAACAACCTATTCCAGTAAAAATCCCATCTCAAAACTTAATGCAACAGAATCAAACAAGTAAAATTAACATAATCAACTTAAAAAATGTAGCCAATTATGCGTAGTCATAACCAAAACTCCCAAAATTTGATAGAAGATTCCATATGACATCTCCAAACTATTTATTTAGTTGAAAAATATAATAGAAAAATAAGTCAAAGAAGTTTTGCTACAGCTATACACTAGAAGACAATAAGAACCTAATTATACTAAAACAAGACAATGAGAATTATGCATTGCTTATGCTTGAGAAAATTCCCTAAATCTAAGGATAGTATGATTTATTGAAAACAATAATTCATGTTGTGTGTGAGTATAATGTAAAAGTGCTATCATCAATCACAGAGTGCCATGACTAATGATCCAAATCTTCCCATTCACTCACACCACGCATGGCGTGTGAAGTTTATGTGCAGACTGCAGCATGAATCGCCAAAAAGAATTATAAAAAAAAAGAGGTTCAAAATTAGAATTAACTCAACCCCAACTTTGCCTAAACATTTTCTGTAAACTCACTCTGCCAACTATCATCAGAGTCGATTAATACGACTGCCAACTGCTTATCCTTGTCAAATGTTATCTTGGACTACTTTGTGTCAATTTGATTTCTCTAGAGTAAAAGTCAAATAATTGGGAGAAAAATCAATTCCTTCACCGTTAAAATATCATAAAAATTCACTATAAAATATCATCACCTATTACTCGGGTGTCCCATGAACACGTGCTTGTTTAGTGACCCTTGATTGCTTCTATTAACGGGTTGAAATCAAAGACTTGTCATGCAAAAGGAAAAAGGAAACAAACATCAACATAGACTAACTAGTTGATCAGTGTTACCAGTTTTGAATGTCATCCTCGACAATTGTTGTGGTGTACAATCAAAATTATCAAAGAGATGTAAACATCACCTCATCTTTCACAAATCCATGACACCTACGTCGATGAAAACTTTTTATGTTCGCAACCCTACTTAGTTTTAATTCAACCTTCTTTTCGAATTTGTGATTCTCCCACAATCAGATTTCTACAAGAAATCAATCATTATTTCTCTTTCATTAAACTACAGCCACATACGAATTCGCCTTTTGCCACAGCATATACATATTTCGACTATTCAACAGAAATAAAACACCATCCAAAATTCAAAAACAATCACAAAACCCTAAAACTCTACAAATCTTCAATTACGATCAATCCACACACGAAAATACCCATATGCATAAACACATAAAGGAGGGTTAAGGGGGTGAAATTACTAGGGTTTAGTTGTAGTAGAGCTCAAGGCCCATGCCGTCATGGATCTCGTAATCCTTAAGAGTGATGTGATCTTTGTAGATGTTGTACCACTTCTGGATCCGGATCTTGTCGGCCCGGGTTCCAGTCTGAGCCGCGACCAGCTTCTTCAGATCGCCGATTGTATCATCGTCGTTGCACTTCACTCGCACCTTCTTCCCAAGCCTATCGTTCAGCACCACCTCAATCATCTTCTTTTTTGGAAATTACAGCTGCAAAAAAACCAAATTGATTTGGGTTTTCCGATTCCCGTTCTACCGAAGAAAAAGCTTACGCGCAATGAATAAGAAGGAATCTTGGAATTATTGTCAATTAAATTATAATTCAAGCCCTTATATTATGGGATACTTTTAATTTTGACCAAGTCAAATGAGCAAAATTTCAGTTTGACTTCCAAAATCATGAATCTTATGACATTGGCCTCTTGTATGGTAAAAGACAAAAATGTCCTTAAATGTTTTGTACAATTATAAAACAATATATTGTTGAAAGGACTATACTACCCTTTTAGTTAATAATTGAAAACCAAATATTTCCCCACTTATAAAAACTTCAAAATGAGCTTCCAACACAGAAAAAACTCTCATCTTTTCATCTGCTTGAATCTCAAAATCTAGAAGAACTTTGGAACGTTGAAACTGAAAATTTTTTTCACATCAATTACTTCAAATCGGTAAGTATATTTACGCATGTTTAATTTCGTTTTAAGTAAATTAGTATACGTTTAAATAGAGAAATTTTATGTCGACATAGATTTTTTTTAACAGAACCTATCAAAAAAAACTAAACGGATGTATAACTTACGTTTAAATTACGCATGCTTAATTTTGTTTTTAGAACAGTATTCTCCTACGCCAAATTGGGTAAAGCTTAACAAACAGTCGGAAACAGTCCGACTGTTAGGCTGTTTAACAGCCGACTGTTCGGCTGTTAAACAGCCAATTGGCTGCAGCTGATTTTTAATACCTTTTCTTTCTTATAATTAATATTTGAAGTTGATTAAAACCATTTCCTCATGCAGATATGATAATCCCCGTGTGTTATTTCGGTGATTTCGAATTGAATGAAAATAATCGGTGGGAATGGAGATGAACGAGTGACATACGTGGTTGTATTGCAATTCCCGTAACAGAGAGTATACCATACTTAGAAATGTACCACGATTTGCAAAATAAGTTGAATGTCGATTAATCTCAATACGACATGCAATTGAGATATCTATTCAACGGTTATGGGGATTCATCCATTCTAATGCCACCGGTATTCGTTACTAATGATGCTGAATTGAATTATCTATTAGAATTGAATAAAATGCATCGGACTCCGACTGTTCTTAGTGTGACTTTAATTACGAAGGATGTTATCGAAGGTAAACGCGAAGATTCGGATAGGGCGGATAACAATGATCGAGGTTTTTGGGAGACAGTGGAGATAGTTCCTGCGGATGATGTGGGTATTCCTGAGACAGTTGCTTCTGATCATGATGTCGCTGTTACGCGCAGAATTCCGTCAACAGTTGAAGACAATGAGAACATAAACGAGTTTACAAATGAGAATTTGATTGCTTTATCCCGACAGAGACACGAGCCTGGTGGGAGCTCACAGGTTGGAACAAGTGGACCGTCCTCGAATTCTTCCCGTGTGGCTCCCAATGATGAGGACTTGCAGGTCGAGCAACTGTTTGAAACCAAGAAAGATTTGCAGGAAGCTGTGCACCGGCTAGCATTAAAATATAACTTTGAGTTCAAGGTAAAGAAATCAAACAAGTCATTGTTGACAGTTGCTTGCGTCGAAGACAGTTGCAATTGGCGCTTGAGAGCAACTAAGATGGACACGAATGAGTGCTTCGTAATTCGCAAGTATTTACGGGAACATACTTGCGAAGTGGGAATTCTTCGAAACGATCATAGGCAAGCTCGAGCATGGTTTATTGGTCGACAGATAATGCACAAGTATCAGGATCCACGGACGATCTACAGACCTTCAGACATCATTAACGACGTCCGTCGAGAGTACAGAGTGGTCATGAGCTATCAGAAAGCGTGGAAGGCCAAAGAATGTGTGCTGGAGGATTTAATGGGATCGGCTGAAGAGAGCTATGCTAAATTGACTAGGTATTACCATAACATGGGGACAACTAATCCTGGCACGGCATTTTTTATTGAGACGAGGGGTGATAATTGTTTTAAGTATTTCTTCATGGATCTCGGACAATGTATTCGGGGTTTTCGAAATGCAATGCAACCCTTAATTCTAGTTGATGGTACGACTCTGAAAGCTAAATATCAAGGCAAATTAATTATTGCTACATGTCAAGATGCCAACATCCAAATTTACCCTATTGCATTCGGCATAGTCGACAGCGAGAATGATCTGTCCATGCGTTGGTTCTTTTCTAAACTGAGGGAAGTGATTGGGGAAGTTGAAAACCTTGCCTTTGTAACCGATCGAGGACAGTCTATAATAAACGGTATCGCTGAAGTTTTTCCCGAGGCACATCACGGGTATTGCATGTACCATATACAAGGTAATTTGAAGACTAGGTATCGGGGCACAGGCATCGTTTCATTATTCAGGAGAGCAGCCGAAGCTTACAGTGCTAAAGAGTGTAATAAGTTCTTGCTCGAGATAGGAAGTAAATCATTACCGGCGTTGGAGTATCTGACAAAGATGGGGATCGAACATTGGGCGCGGTCATACTTTCCAGGACGTCGATACAACATGATGACGTCGAATAACGCGGAGTCTCTCAATGCATTGTTTAAGAAGGATCGAGAGTTACCAATTCTCGCAATGATTGAGAACATTCGTAACAAGCTACAACAGTGGTTTCATGACCGACGTGCGGCATCAGAGAGTTGCACTAGCATGTTGGCCCCAGCTCGAGAGGAGAAACTGTTTAAGGCGGCAGAGGTTGCGAGGAAGTTGAATGTGGAAGCACTATATGAGTTTCGCTTCTCCGTGCAATGTGCACGTAATACGGCATATATGGTGGACTTGACTGATAACACATGCACTTGTACGAGATTTCAGTTAGAGAGTTTTCCATGTGAGCATGCAGTTGCGGTGGCCATGTATCGAGGCTTTACTGCGAGAACGTTGTGCTTTTTGTATTATACGACTGAGTTTTGGAGAACAGCATATGCCGTGACTATATTTCCTCTGCCAAATGAAGTCGAGTGGGAAGTTCCCGAGCACATTCTCCCATTTCATAATTTGTTACCACCAGCAGTTGAACCGCGTGGTCCTGGACGTCCAAATACATCTAGAATACCATCCATCGGAGAGTTTCCTCGACCGCGTAGGTGTGACCGATGCAGAGCCGTAGGGCATACTCGTCAATTTTGTACCAGTCAAATTCCCCTAAATGACGACTAGACAGGTATGTAAAATGAATAATATTTCCTTTTACTTTACACTGTTCAATATTTGTTATTTATAAATCTTCAATATACAAAAAATAGTTCCATACTCGGCATACGGGTAAAATAATAAAACATAATTAAATTTTCAATTTGAATGTTATATACATTGAACACAAATTTACAATTATTTCAGAATTGCCAAAATAATTAAATTTCTAATTTGAATGTTATATACATTGAACACAAATTTACAATTATTTCATAATTACAAAAATAATTAAATTTCCAATTTGAATGTTATATACATTGAACACAAATTTACAATTATTTCAGAATTACCAAAATAATTAAATTTACAATTGAAATGTTACATATATATAAATGAAATTTACGGGTCAGCATTAAATTCGAACAAATCACATGCTAGCTTCTTTCTCCAGTTCTGTATCCACGACAGGTTGATTTCATCAACCTTATGCCCTATACTTAAAAATTCGACATATTTAATGGCAAATATGCCGCAGTCGCCGCTGCAAT